AAATTGTGAATGAAATTTGTGGATCTTTATGATAAATTAAAATAAGATTTAAAACCCACCTAGAGAACATGGCAAGTTGTTTTTCTTTATTTTGAATATATATAATGTTTTTGACTGGGGTGTTAAACAGAGAATCATCTTTGCTTTAACATGGGCCAAACAAATGTTCTGTTAGTTAATGTGGTTTAATTAGAACTCAGTGAATCTCACAGACAGCCTGCGTGCAGTGACACGCTCATACAGCAGTCTCTCAGGAGGAGAGTTTAGTCACTCACACAGAGTTGGACAGATCTGGTCAATAACAACATTCTGAACATAGATTTAATATAAAGTTAGGTTTTACAGACCAAAGTCTCTGCTAGTTCAGGAGCAAAGTGCAGGAGGAGCAGAGGAGGAGATGTGACTGATCACTGCAGCAGCTCGAGTCGAGCCGGTCCTCTGCTTCAACCAAACTGCTCTCGCTGAAAGTCCCGCCCTGATTTGTTGAAGGCAGTGTCCGTTTAATCCCGATATCAGGGTCCCACTGTGGCGCACCGAACAACAATCCATTCACACCAGTGCCGCTGGATTTTTTTTATTTTTTATTTTTTAAGAAATCGGGACACGTTTGTGACCAAACTGGTCACACTCTAGAGCCCTGCTAACTGTTGTTGTGACAGACAATCAGGTACAATCTAAGGGAGCTTTATGACGTCCCATCTGTTGCGCTTTTACCTGTTTTGACCGCGCATGCGCACCTGCACACCGGTTATGTGCACCTCTGTAAATGTAGGATCAGAGCAACTTTTTTAAACTCACGCATCATAATGTGTTTTTCTAAGCTGCTAAAGGTAGAGCAACTGTGTTGCACAAGACCTGTTCATCTGTTCCCCCATGTTTGTTATGTGTGTCTTTCTTTTGAACGGTGATCTTAATTTCAGTTTCACTCTTATAATAAAATATTGTTACTTCAACCAGTACGTTTTTCTTATATTTGATTTAATTTTAAACATTTTATTTTCGGGCAGGTAAACTTTCATGTTGGGCAGGTAACATTTGGACTCACTTTCCCAACAGGGCAGGTGAAAAAAAAAGTCTTGTTGAACCCTGTATTCTGCGTTGCATCTGTGATGAGTGTGAATGACAATAAAGCTGGTTCTGATTCTGTCCACTTTCCAAACTCTGTTAATAAGAACTGAAGCAGACAGAGAAGTGTTTGTTGTTGTCTGCATCACTAGAACTGGTTTAATGAGRCGTTGCAGTGTTAGCTCTGCCTGCTTCATGTTCTGTAAATAAAGACATTGAGCAACATGGCAGCCCCTGGCAGGGCCTCGGACCCCTCCAGGGTGCACCCCACGGTTTGAGAACTTCTGTGTTCAGGAGAAATGAAGTGTTTGTAGGACAGAGAGGAGACATTGAGGAGCTGTAATTAAAGCCAGACCACAGCTTGTACTTACACAGTTGTAAATAAGATATTCWTTTTCCCAGATAAAGACTAAATGTTTGCTGCAACACGAGCGTGGASCAGAGAATCATTTAGAAAAACACCAGGGCTCTGGTGCGCAGCAGGGTGAGAGGGGTGGACAGACATTCTTTAGCAATGGTCAGGTCTCATATCAAGTGTGGCAGGACGCCTTGAGGCCCAGTGTCATCTGATAGGGAAGGAATCAACAGGGGGGGGGTGTTGTGCAGCACCAGTGTTTTGGCTGAAGAGGACAAAAGATAAAATGAAGGTCAGTAAATCTCAGAGTCTCTGATGTTTGGCACTGGTTTGTGTTTAAAGAGCACAGACTCCCAGCTGCTCCTGATTCAGCTGAACACAACAACAGAGGGTCAGATTACAGAGGGAGGGACGTTAACGTGTATCTGTGCTGTGATTGGCCCACAGGACTGTCAAACATGATGTCAGATGGAGAATTCCTTCGAACGAGCTGCGGCTCACCCAACTACGCAGCTCCAGAGGTCATCTCAGGAAGGTGTGTGCACACACTTCATCATACCACATGTATGATCAAGACGAACAAATCTTTTTGTAATCAARCTATATAATGAGTAAATAAGTGAAACCTTGATTATAAAGCACATTTCACTACACAAACATCACAAAGTGATTAACAGAGAGCAAATAACTAAAACAACAAAAAAAAAAAAACAGTGCACAAATTATTGGTGAATAATTTGATGTAGTACTTTAAGGACTACTTTCTAATTTGCTGTTAACCTGTTTACAATGTGTAACCTTAAAACTATTAGATCATATGTTTAGGATATTCCAACCCATTCTGACTCCTGAGTCGTCACATATTGATGCTTTTCCAAGGTTCCCTCTGTGTCCGATTTTGATGCATCGGGTACTCCCCTTGCTTCAGCTTTTGACGAGATGGGGCAGAATCTTGATTTCAGAAAGTGTAGAAAATGCACAAAAACTACAGTTCCAAAGCCTAAAATTAACATTCTCTTTAGACATCCTGTCACTGACCCTGGAACCTAAAATTCATTTTTACAAAATATAGGAAATTCACGACAACTATGTGTTTCAAAGCCTAAAATTACCTAATATTTGCCATAGACATCCTATCCCTGACCCCAGTACCAAAACTTAAGCATTAATCCTGATCCCTCATGTTAATCTCAGACCCCCGACCCAAAGACCCCTGGTGACACAACCCRGAAAAGCCGCGGGCGGCAAGGACTGACGTGAGGGGGTCACCYGACGAGTCAAAATAAGACACAGAGGGAACTTTGGAAAAGTGTCAACATGTTGACGAGTCGGGAGTGAGAATGTGTTAGATATTCATGGGTCTGTGTTAAAAATCAGAAAATACAAACAACATATTACTGTAAAAATGACAAAAACACATTTACTGAGTGGCATCTGTCAAATTCTTCTCTAAAATAAATCATTTCTCATTTTTTAAAAAGCACGTAGATAAATTTCACTAATTTTTACATTTATTTTGTTTGTGAAATAATTAATCACATGGTGCCGGATGGTTCTTGTGACGTTTGTAAAGCTGCATTATGAAAAAAGACCACAATATGTAATGTAACAAAACCAGGCTTCAAAATGTAATAAAGCTGCACTGAAACTGCATTATGTAATAAAAGTCTTCAATGCATTTCGTAATAGCATTATTACATTTTTCAACAATTGTTACAAAATGCAAAGGTTGCTCTTTTTACAAAAGATAATGTAAAAATAATAATAATGGTACAAGATGGGGGTCAATAAGTATGTCCACTCCTGCTCGGTGCCTCTCAGCATCGGCAACTCCAGAGTGGAAGAGTGTCCAACTCCTTGATCTACATTACTGGACTGGACATCACATGACTTATTGTGTGCCACACAGGAGCCATTACTACACATTGAGTCATGTCAACAAAACAGAGTTTCAGTGCAGGATGASCGTCAATCTGTCACAAAAATATTCATAGCACCCTCAATTCTTATCTGATTTCTATAAAATATGGCTTAAATTAAAGCTTGTAAAATTGCTGATGTTGTGATATGTAAAAAATATGTATTTACTCAAGAGATAAATCTATAAGCAGTCTGGGAACTTTTCATTATAGGTTTTTGCTAATGTATTTACAGTAGAAGCCCCTTTCTGTCACATAAAGACAAATTGTCTGTTCCAACAAATTATTATATTTTTTATTTCATTCATTCATTCAATCTCTTTATTTAGACACAATTATGGTCCATAAAAAAACAGACAAAACAAGAAC